GCCCCCCCCCCCTCGCCCTCCTGACCTGTGAGTGAATGCGAATCGAAACCAAGGGCTTCCCTTTGGCTGAGTTTGATGTAGCCTGATGGCAAAGGAGAGGACTGTCCCGCACCATGGCACTGCTGAACCACTGTGCTCCATGGGAAGCCAATCACAGTCAGAGTTAAGCTGGAAAATGGTGCTGCAGTGGTTTGGCAATGGCGTCGTGACATTTTTAATGCAAACGAGAACAATCTTGCCATTGTCCGTTTAGTGCGCAACTGGTGTGACAGGTTTTAGATTCTCATGTTTTTGTGCTGTGTCTTGTCTTTATAGTGTATGAAACCGTATGAGCGCTCGTAAGTGCGCGCTTTATGCCCCCCCCCCCCGCGCTCAAAGTGCTTAAACCACCAGTTCACCCAGGCCTATTCCCTTTTTTTTTTTTTTTTTTAACAGAACCTTAGGGTTCTGGCTCCTTTTCCATTCTGGGGAGCATCAGTCCGGTTCCTATTCCCCTTATGGTGTGGAGGCCCGAAGGACGGCATTGATTGCTTCCTCGTAGGAAGGATATACCGCTCCTTACCCCTGCCTAAGTTACCCTCTGGAATATCGTTTTTCCAAGCCTGGCCCAGTCCGGTACCGGCCTACGTCAGTCTGGAAGTACTGGACCACAGGTCCAAGAAATAGGCTGTCGCGATTTGGATGGGCAATCCGTAGGATTTTTTTTTTTTCAAACTTCCTTTTTTTAGTGTTTCCACATTCTTGACGGTACTGCGGCAACACAGAACGTGCAGCCCGGGGCCCCATTCTGAAGCGCTGTGTTTCAATACGCTGTGGGCTATTTTCAAAAATATGGACAAAAAAAAAAAGAAAGGAAAAAATGATTGGCACCTGTTCGTTTCGATATGCTGGCGGTGGCAGTGCTCGGCTATGGCAGGTGCGAGGGGGCCGGGATGCACGAACTGGGGGGAAAGCCAGTCCCAGCCGCCCACGCGCTTGGCATAGCACGCGAGCACACACATCAACATGTGAGTGTGTGTGTGTTGTCATACGTCGACATGCACACAATACCAAAAACGTGGCGGAGTACTTTTTCATGTTCTAGCAGAAGATTCACTGCGACGAGAGCGAGAGAGAACTGGCCTAGCTGGTTCAACCCTGACCGTCTGTGTGTGTGTGTGTGTGTGTTGGGGGGGGGGGGGGGGGGGGGGGGGGGGGGGGGGGGGGGGGTTAAGCGTGGACGCGAGGAAAAAAAAAAAAAAAAAACGAAAACCAAAAAGAGAAAAAGACTACATCCGACTTTCGGCGGCTGTCGCGCGCTCGCTTGTGTGTGTGTTGGGGGGGGGTAATCGTGGGAAAAAAAACAACAACGAAACATCCGACTTTCGGCGGCTGTCGTGTGTGTGTGTGTGTTTGTGTGTGTGTGTGTGTGTGCGTGTGTGTGTGTTCATACGCCGTCGCAGCGTCGCAACCCTGCCCTCGACATGCACACAAGACACAAATCGTGGTGGTATATCTTTCCATGTTCTAGAGGAAGATTCACTGAGGTTGAACCCCAACCATGTTGCCTTTTTGGTGTGTGTGTGTGTGTGTGTGTGTGTGTGTGTGTTGTCATATGCCGCCGCAGCCTCGCTTCCCTGCTCTGTCTCCATGCACACTGGCCAAAATTCATGGCAGTGTATCTTTCCATGTTCTAGCGGAAGATTCACTGAGTTCGTCGCTCCTTGCTTGCACGCTTGCTCAATCTCAGCAGGAGGTTGAACCCCGACCCCGTGTGTGTGTGTGTGTGTGTGTGTGTGTGTGTGTGTGTGTGCGGTGGCTGTT